GGAATCCTGAAATTTGCAGGCAAATGGATGGCACTAGAAACCATCCTGAGTAAGGTAACCCAGTCACAAAAAGACATAGTATGTACTCTCTCATATATGGATTTTAGACATAGATCTGGGGAGTGCCAGCCTACAATCCCATGGCCAGAGAGTCTGGGAAACAGAACCTTCATCCAATGACTGATGGAAGCAGAGGCAGACTCCCACAGCCAAACAGTGAGCTGAACTCAGGGAACCCAGTGACAGAAAGAGAGGACTGATGGGCAAAGGGGTTAAAGACTGGGCTGGTTTAACCCCCAGAAACAGCTGACCTGAACGAGTGTTAGCTCTTGAATCCCAGACTGATGGCTGGGAACCCAGCATGGAACTGATCAAGACCCCCTGAATGTGGGTGTCAGTGAGGATGCCTACGCAATCTATGGGACCTTGGGTAGTAGATCAGTATTTATCCCTGGCATACAATGGACTTTGGGTGCCCATCCAACAATGAGAGATGCACTCTCACTCTGGACTCTTGGGGGAGCATCTAGGCCCTGCCCTGGATGAAATGACAGCCTATGGACACTCCCATGGAGGGCCTCACCCGACCTGGGGAAATGAGGGGGCATTGGATTGGTGGGAGGGTATGGGAGGAGGGAAGGGAAAGGGAGAGTGACCTGGGATTGACATGTGAAGCAACCATGTTTCTAATTTAAATTTAAAAATAAAATTTTTTAAATGCATTGTCCTCTTTCATTTGTTTAATCATTTTACAACATGTTTTATAGCTTTTTAACACATTACTATTAAGATCAGGTACAATTTCAAAAAGATTGCCCTCCTATTCATCTATTATGAATAATTACTAAGTTTTCATTCATTAAAAAAAGGAAATCCTTAGCTAAAATTCTGAATGGGTAACAATATACTCACTAAGCTTAATAATTATATAGTAAATACCTATAATTACATTACAATTTTTATTTTAAATGTATGAAAGTATGTACATTACAGTTGATAAATAATTATCAAGATTTTACTGTCTAATAAATTTCAGTACGCTAGGTGTGCTGGCAAGTTGAAGGTCAAGTCATTAAAAACAAGAATGATCTCTAATTATATTTACAAGTGTGTGCAAGCTTCACAATGATAAAATACAAAGTTCTCAGGCACAAGAAACTATCCTTACTTTCTACTCTTTTCCTAAAATCTTTATCATCCATTCCTTCTCTTTTATCTAAGAAACAAGTCAATTGTCACAATTAAAAATTCTACTCCCAAATAATTACATTTTTTATGTTCTGGACCAATCAACAAATACTTTGACACAAAACCTATTAGAAATGACTGTTATGTCAAGAAATAATTTCTTTTTTATACCTACTACCACTATATCTTAGTGGTAGCTTAGAGTCTTATACAAGTAAAAATATTAATGTATGCCATTATAGAAAATTCCATCTGATAAAAACAAATTGTGATATTTGATGAAAATTGATAGTTCTTGAAAAGACATACAGAGTACATGAATGCTGTGCCTTCACAGCACCTGATATTTATTTCCAACAATCAGCCTGACAAAGTCTGCATGTCACTCTATCAGCATTGATCAGAAGTTAAACTAAATGGTTTCTTCAGGAGCTTTTAGATAGTTTCAAACTCTATATAGTCTTATAAGAGTCCATACTATTAGTGATAAATATTAATCCTTCATAGAAAAGAAAATCATGACACAAAGATGGTAATTTTTCAGTCAAAATGAAAGTTATTAGAGTGAAGTGGGATCATGTTGACCTTAATTTGACCAACTTGTAGAAAACATGGCTCTAACATTGAATGATAAATATTTTTAAACAAAAATCTGCCTAGTATGAATTTTTATACCAAGAACAAGGCAAAAAATGGAAACATTATCGGGAAATTCCATATTGTCACCAAGAGAGTTTTTATATACATCCTTGACGTGCAGCAATTTTTAGGGAACTTTTCCATAAGTTAATGAATGGTGTTAGAAATTCCTCATAAGAATTAACAGATATATCACTGAAGTTCCCAGGAGATTCTCAGATCATCAAATTTACACTTCATAATTTTCCATAAAATATGGAAATACATATCATTTCACCAGTTAACATTTAAGAAATATCTGCTTCTTATTGGCTGAGAAAAGTTGCCCCACTTGGGAGAAGAACACAAGGGTCAATGATTAAAGTGATTTATCCTTCATCTTACATCAGCATTTTAGGAAGACTGATCATTTTAATGTCAAATAGCACTTGTTTTCTTCATCATAATATATAACATGTTTGATACTTCAGTATACTATGTTTAGCACATTCAGCTATGAAGAAAGAAATGTGCTAAGTAAATGTGCTTTCCATCTGAGTGTTCTACTCTTGCTCCGTGAATAGGTATTGGGAGAGGTCTGATGATCTATTTCTTGATAACAATATTCTTTTCTTCATTAGTAACTTTTGCTTCATGTATCAGAATGCAGTGAGTAGATTCATTGTTTATAAGCAGTAAAATAATCTATCAAAAGACCTTCTTAACTCCAAAACTAATAATCTCATATTTTAAATATGTTTAATTTGTTAAAACTGAAGTAAATTAACAACTTCAAAGACAAACCCCACATACTCGAATGTAAATGACTTATAATTAATGATAATTAATTGGCAGGTCAATTAACATTTAGGTAGTCTACACAAAAATTTAGACAAATAGTTTTTGATCTTATGATTTAGTTTGTATTTGAGTTTGGCTTTCAGGTTTTTGTCCAAGCAAACTTGTAGCTCACTGCATATAACATATGGGCCTCAACTATACACTGTCCTCCTGTTTCATCCTTCTCAATGCTTAAATCTTAATTATTATTTATCATTTCCAGCATCCATGTCCTGTTTTTATAATAATGTAAAGATTTGAGTCAGAATTCCTTTACAGCCTTTTATCACTCCATCTTTAGACAAAAAGAGGAAAATTCAACTCATCTCTAAGATTAAGATACTATTTGTGTTGATACTTGTAAAACCTGGACATCCTTTTTCCAATATAAAACAAAATATCCACCTATGCAGGCACTGCTTGCATGCATTGGAGACACTTTCTCAATTATAGTGTTGATTTCTTTTCAGAGATGAGTGGAATCAAAATGAAGGCTGATTTATAATTACATTTATTGGTTCACATATTTGTTCATACACTTATTTATTCATTTAGATGTTACTGGATATTAACCTTTAGACAGATATTAAATGGGCTTACAGAGTAATTCAGTGTTACATTTCTCCAGAGACAGAAGCTGGCAAGAGCTTCAATTTTCTTGATACCGTAGTAGTGAATTAGAGTCATTTACTTTGGTGGTCAAATCTGCAAAGGGATTAGGCAAAGGTAACTATTCCTTTATTCAGTTTCTGCTCCACATGGAGAAAGCCTGCCCCCTCCACCACTGAGAAGGGAACTGCGGTCATAAGACACACAGGCTTCATTCCAGAACACATTCTCACATTTCATTTATGCTCCACTGATGGGGGGAGTCCATTTATATTAATTAATTAACAACCAAAATTAGTCTAATCACATGCTGCAATTCTCCTAAAATGTGATTACATCTTCCATGTGACAATCTGATTTCATTTTTCTTGGGCTAGAAAAAAACAATTCTTTAGGGGTACAATGAAGGAATACACATCAATTAATGCAGCCTTCTAGTCTTCTAGTGATCATTTCTTATCTATCTAGGGCAACTGTGCCCCCAAGGAGTTTTTGCTTTCTATCTGTGATACAAGCTGCTTCTTGGTGAGAGGTCAGTGATACTTACATGACAGTTCTTTGGAATAGAATTGTTAATCTCAGTCAATATAAAACTGGCAGCCATTAGTCCACCAACAAGCAGCACCCTGTCTCAGAGGATTAGGTATTCAAATTGAGAAAGTGGGAGGTAGTGTGATTGTGATGTAAAGATATTTTATTTTCAGCTATCCATGGTTTATAAAATTTAAAAAATCTTCTGAACTCCTGCAGTATTTCTAATAGACAAACTCATTCCACAGGCTTGGGTAAGTTTATACCATCATGCCTGTGTGAATTCTTCCTATGAGTCAAAGCTCTCTGATGAGCAGAATGTGAGCACTGGAATTGGGTGAGCCCTTCCGGAAATTCCAGGCATAGACTATACATATGTATGACTGTTTTCACACTGAAAACCTTTCCAAAAAAATCACAATGCTTATCAAGGTCACTATAAAAGCTGTAATTTTAAAGCTTTAGAAGAAGAGTTTAGGTAGAAGTATCAAGAAAAAATTATCATGTGAGCTGATTAGTCTCTATCACTTACTTGATTTGGAAACAAGTGTGTCTTGTAGAAATAATCAGTCAGAATGATGTAGAAAATCTCACTCTCTTGAAGAGGCACAAGAAACTGCCCACTTCCTGCCTTCTAGAGGGCCAAGTCTGACAGAATAGCATTGAGGTATCTATTGATAAGTATACAGGTCTAGCTATCTCTGAATATAAAAGGGATCAGATATTAATGTGTACAAATTTTGTGGCTGTAAATATTTAATCAAATTAACATCATCTAAAAATATTAGAAGAGGTGATTGAGCCTTTTCCAACTTTTGAGTTTCAGATGCAATATAGCACAACCAGAATCACTTTTAACTGAATGTATATGATCACCAAACACCAGTACACATTAGTTTTACAAATAATATTAAGTAAGACATACACAGCAGTAAGAAATTGACCAAATAAAAGTAAAAGTTTGCTATACTAGTGTAAGTCACCTACATATTGTTGTCACCACAATCACATAAGAGACTCCAGAAAAGTAGAATTCCAGAGTTTATCAAGGAAGGGATTTTTCTAAGGCACTAATGTAGGAATAATCATTTTTAAACAACCAGAAGTACTCATTTTCCTTAATCCTCAACATATAATGTTTGTACCTTTTCTGTTAAATCTTTCAGAGTCATTAGGGTGGGATGAAACATGGATATAATACCATTATCACATACCTTATGAGCAGAGGAATTGAAATCTTTTCAGCTTCTCTAATGTTGGAGTTTAGGATTTCCAACCTCTCACAAAGCTGTCTTCACAACAGCTGCAATCCAGTCAGGGAAGTTCTTATGTAAAGAACTGTGGGCCTTTGAGCATTTCAGCTCGTACTGCAGCCCTCATGGTTCCTTTGTGCTTCTAAAAACTTCACCTCTACTCTTCTGCTTGCATTCCTTCCAGACCGGTACAGAAAATTAAGTTTTGAAGTTGCTACCCAGAGTTTAAAGTCTGTGGAGCCGGATTTCTATAACTGACAGGAGGATGAAGAGGTTTCATTCATCAAGAAAGGGGACTGGAGGCACCGCCTTTTAGCTCCCAAGATCTCCTCTTGTCCATGGCAGTGGAAGCTAGGACAGCCGTGGAGGAAGAGGCAGCAGCACAGCTGGGTCCCCGAGGCTGCGGCCCAGCTGGGAGACGCTGTCCATTCCCTCCGGTGCTGACGCGTGGTTGCTAGGACCCTGTGGCCGACCCCAGATCCTGCTAAGGCCTCTTCCAGGACTTCCAGCCTTGCCGCTTTTCCTCCATATCTCATTTCTTAGGGATCAACGGTCTCTCCCGCATAATACCCTCCTATGTATATGAGATAAATGTTTCCGGAGAGTCAGGAATCCGTGGGAAATTAGACCTGAGCCTCTTCTGAGTTCACAGTGGCTCTGAGAGGGTTTCCTAATGGTAGAAATGAAAAAGAACGCACCAACATGGGCGCGCGCACAGGCGCGCACGGGGTGGGCGGCAGAGAGAAAGAGATGGGGCAAAGATGGGGGAGGAGGAGGGAGAAGAGAGAGGAGGAGGGGACTGAGCACTGTGGAAACTGTAGATGTGCTTTGGAAAGATCCTGGGTCTTTAATTACGTAAAACGAGAAAGGCTATCTATTTTGGAAAGCCCAGCAAGCTTGCTTCCCAGCCAGGGCTGTGACACATTCACATTTTGAAGCCCTGAGTGCAATACCGAGATGACAAAGTAAGAATGCCCAGTTCCCACACACATAGACAGAATCTTGCCAGAGAATGCGGAAACAGGAGGAATGAACAGGGAAAGGCTTGGGATACCTGTGTTTCCTATGGGCTATAGCAGGGCTCTAACTATGGCTGCCTAAGCCCCGTCGGCGGACAGCCCAAGGGGATTGCGGTCCAACATTGCCTACTCCCTGGGCTCCCGCAGGAGCTGGGGAGTCTCGCTGAACAAAAGACTGGATGAGGGTAGTTGATCTGGTAAGAGCGGATGCTAAGCCATTCCTAAAAGACACAGGCAAGGCCTAGGCACAGACCCGAGATGCCCGGGCCTCTAAGCTCGGCAGTCCGACTCGTGGAGGTGCAGAGCAGACTCTACTCCACCAGAGAAGCTTCCTGTGGAACTGGACACGGGTTCGCGTTCGTGGCCTCATGGGAGGCGGTTGAGGGCTTCGCCACCCACACATGGCAAGTGGTGCTGCCACCAATGGAGCGAGACGGGGGAACTGGATCTACAGCATGGAAAATGGGGTCAGCTGCTTAAAACCGCACCCCTCGGAGCTCGGGGTATGGTGAAGCTGCAAAGCGTCCGCTGACCCAAGCCAGGGAAGTGCTTAGCTCCAGCCAAAGATCTGCGCAGCGCACATTTCTGCACCCGGAGTTTGTTCCATCCTGGGGGCTGGGCGGGTCGAGGGCAGGAACACTGCGAAAGCACTAGGACTCACCCGGTGTGGCTGGGTGCCCGCTCCCGGCCCGCACAGGTTCTTGCTTCTCCCCACCTCCGACTAAACCGGGGAAATCGTGGGATGATTCCACCCGCGCCCCCAGTGTGGTTCCGAGTCCCCATTGCTGGATGCTCGGTGACCAGGGGTCGTCCCGAGTCACCAGGTGGTGGCGTTCTGCGGGCTTTTCTGGGCTGCTGTATGAGGGCGGGAAGCGGCTGCACCGCGAAGGACTAGGCTGCTGCCCTGAGAGGAAATGGCGTCCGGCAGAAAGGCACCGGAGCGTCCTTCCTTAAGCGCAAAGCCTGCTTTCCTGGCTTGGGGCCCCATCTCCTGCACGCTGCTCCTCTTGGTTCCAGATGTGAAAGGACCAGGCAACCTCCGCCCTCATTCTTGCACGGGGTACACTCAGAGGAAAAGCACAAAAGACCAGGACAGCGCTCGCTTACTACAGGTAGTTTAAGTAACCTGACTCCGGGGCACGTTACAATTTGGGAGTCCCAAGGTCGCGCAGCTGGTGATGTGCCTGAGCACAGGATAGATAAAATGCAGTTTGGGAGCTAATTTAAAGAATTCCTTTGTTTTCCGGTTCCTGGGGGGGAAAGCTTATGGTAAATTTCTTTCTCCACTTCCTACCACGTGTTTGCCCAAATACATTTCAGAAGGTAGCCTATTTTCGTCAGAGGATGATAACAACTTATTTACAGTCTGTGTTTGTTTTCTTTGCTCTGTCACAAGCTCATTTCAGTTGATTCAAGTAATTGTTTAATTTTTTTGTACATGCAAAGACTTGAATCACCACAGGGAATCAACTCAGCAAATGAAAGCCTATAAATAAAGCACAGAGATGCCACTAATTGAAAGCGTATGCATTTCATTATCCAACCACAGAGACACTTTGCTCCTTGTAGAGCACAGAGGCTAATACAAAGCCTCCCTCTCAAACCCTCCCTCCTCCCTCTCTGTTACCACCAAGTAAAAAGAAATGGTGGATTAACTGGAGCTGCCAGAACTAACAGATTTTGGCAGCTTGATGTCTTTTCTTGAAGAAGCAAATCTGTCGAAAGTTTCTCCTTATTAACCTGTGCAAAGCATTGTAGACCTGAAGATGGCGAAGAGCAGATGCAGGGTAAGGAAAATAAAACAAGGATAGAGAGGCCGAGGCAGATGGGAAAATCAGTTTTAAAACAATTGCTATCGGATAAGAGTTGTAAGAAGAAAATTTCAATCACTTTTATTCTTAAGAGTTACTTTTGTTTTCTTAATGTTCTTACATAGAAGTATATATACACATATATTTAAAAGTAACTTTCTATAATACATATAAATACACACACGTATGAATACACACACACACACATTGAGTAGAGTCCTCAACTAGTCAATCCTCAATTTACAAAACTAAGACAGAGCCTCACCCAGCACACATTTTGCATTTTGCATAGCCAGGATCTTAGAAACAGAAGAGTTCCGCACATTTTGGAAACAATGTGAATCTGTATCAGGGAGTTTATGGGCAGTACAAAGTGAGTGTTAAATGGAACATGATACCATAGACTTTGCTAGTGTCTGCACAGGTTTTCTAACTGTGTTAACCCTTTGGTCTTCTTGGCTTCAAGGATGAAAGGGTGATATTTTCCACTATTTTGATTTCATGGCCATATAGAGCCACTGATTTTGTAAAAAGTAAAAACTTCTCAGACTTTGCATACTTTTGCAAAGACATATTATCTTTGGCACGTCCTTTACATGTTTTTTCTACACTTGATCACAAGTATTGGTAAACTAGAGACTTTATTTGCATCAACAAATGTTTGCAAACGTATCTGTGTTCACTTCATATTTAGAGTAGATGCCGAATGAACAATGTCTACTTTGGCGACATGTTCAACTTACAGTTTCATTGTCTTCATTTTAATTATAGTCTGTTTCTCTTGTATCAAATACAACTAAAAATACCTATAGGTAATTATTTCTCAAATGAAACAATTATTTTAAAGTGTCCTCCCAAAGTTTTTCTAACAAAGTGTTGTTGTGTGATGCATTCTTTGCTTCTTCTCTGTGTGAGGACTGGTCATGGGATTTTGCCTTTTATCAGATCAAATGTTCTTTGTTGAGCAATCATCAGGTATGCCTAAAAGAAGTCTTATGCTTGAAGCAGTGATAACAGTTGGTCTTAGATAAAGGCAAAAGCATCTCCTTGACTGAGATATGAAACTCAGTCCAATTTGCTTAATGTTGTTTGTGTGTGAAAGGGAGCAAGTGACAAGTAAAAGTCAGTGAGTCTGAGAAAATTAGGCATGAAACTACAGCTGCCAACAAACTCTATGTGATCCCGTTCCATATGACCTTATTTTTATGTTTTCTCTTAAACAATTCTGACTTGAGAGCTGATTCACTTGAAAGATAATTCTATTTTCTACCACTTGAGTAAGTTGCTTAAATGTTTTAGTCTCTTTCTTCATTTTTTTTATTATCGTTGGTGTGTGATAAGTTAATATCCTAAAAGCCTCACGTGGAGTAAGAAGATTCAGACAAGAAAATTGACCTAACTGATGTCACTTCTTGTAGCTTCTGATAAGGAGACCCACATACCAAACTCACTGGTTCCCACCACTTATATACTGCAGGGGAACAGACCTGAAATGTACTTTTCCATCTACAAAGTTCCCAAAGACTGCGCATGTCACACACTCACAGTCTCCACTTCCAAGGAAACCCTTGGTCCTTTCGGTTGTCTTGATTAAAAGAACAATTCTGCTTCTGTAGAAGACTGTCTGCCTTCTTTTATTTCCATGTTACCTCTATCAATCCTGTTCTAATGTGATGTATTTCATATGTATATGCATGTGTTTATAGGTACATAATACCGTGTGTGTGTGTGTACGAAGCCAGAAGTAGACAAGCAGACCTTTTTTATCCATCTCCAATGTTTTAAACTCTCTCACTGAACCTTGTCCTGACCTAGTCAGATAAGTTGGCTGGATAGTGTGTTCCCTGGTTCTCCATTCTCTGCACCCCCAGTGGTAAGATTAAAGGTGCCTAGTGCAATGCCTATCTTTTCAAATGTAGAGGTTTCATGTTCTTAGGCTTGTGTGATGGCCACTTTACTGCTCATAGAGCAGTTTTGTCAGCTGTGATTTTTATCCTAAGATAGAAATAATGCAACCTACTTCATACAGTTATCACATATCACATGGGCCCATGCCATGAACTACCTGCCAGTAGGACATTCTGTATCTTTTAGCATGTTGGCCTCTTTCTGGGCAGACATGAGCAAATGTTTACTCACTCCAGGCAAGGAACTGAGGACAGACCAAAGTATGAATAACATCCAAGTCCTGACTGATGAACAAATAGTTTTATTTGGTTTAATTACAGGAACATGGATAAGGAGTTACAGTAGCAGAAATGATGAAAAAAAGTTGTATCCCCAAAATCCCAAACCACCATGACTAACATTTCATAAAAGCTGGAAGCAGAATGCACTGCTCAGCATGTATGCATCTCAAAGTTTGAAGAGTAGTTTTCACAGGCACATCTGTTAGTTTGAGCCTCTTCCAAGCAACTCGGCTGATCCCCTGCAGTTCCTAGGCAACTCAGGTGATCTGCCTCTTCCAGGCAGTTTGTCTTGTCTGAGAGTTTCGTAGACTGATAAATTTATCTGAAAGTGTCTCTCAATAGTCCTCTTGCTTATATAAACTTTGAGAATGATTTTTGTCAGTTCCAGGGATTCTTACAGACATTGAGTTATGTAATACTTGAGCCTTCCCAAATGAAGGGATGTCACCTCCTACTAGAGCACCTTGAATCATAAAGATATATCATGTATCATGCAAGGTAGAATGTGTTTCCCACTCTAGAAAGTACTATATCTTGCGAAGTTTCCCTCCAAGATGTAAGGCTTTATTGTGGAGGAAACTGCTGCAGAGAAGCATTTCTCCACAAATCTTTTTCAGGAACTATGCCTCCGTGCACATCTTGGATTCCTTAGCACCAAGCACAAATGGATAGAAATGTCATACATAGAATTGATTTAAGAAATATGGAAGTGCCTTTAAAGATTATAAACAATGAGTTACTAATAATTGATAAAAAATCTCTAGTCAAAGCATACACTACCAATTTTACCAAGCTATATTAAATG